TCTCTCTCTCTCTCTCTCTCTCTCTCTCTCTCTCTCTCTCTCTCTCTCTCTCTCTCTCTCTCTTTCACTCTTGTTACACTAAAAAAGAAATGATTTTGCAGTCACATAGCGAAAATGATCTAAATACGAAAAATTAGCTAAGATGAATAAATAGCATGTATTTTGTATTTAATCAGTATAGTTGACATAATTTCGATCTGAACTATTTTTACAACTTAGCACAAAAAATCTCTCTGTGGCGCCCATCCAGATTAAAGTCAGTCATATTTCTTATCAAAATTGACCGTGGTAAAAGATTAGCGACAAAAAACAAAATGAATGTTCATACCCACCCAAATGCGCTTGCAGATGTCTAGAATGCTGTTGCTGTAAACACAGACAATTTTCTCTACCACAGACATTTTTCCAGCAGATACAAAAAACAGTGATAAATTTTAACATTTAGAATTCTACCTAAAACAGCAAAATATTTTTTATACGGTTACCGTGTCATTATCCTGACACGCTCATTATAATAATAATTTATGTACGACATTAACGATGCAATGCAAAAGTGTACAGACTCGAGATATTTGTTATATAATTTTGCTTGTACCGGGATACTCTCAATATCGATATCTCCTCTAATCATGTCTGCATTTAGATACATTACTTGTCTTAATTGATACGCGAGTGTCTACATGACAATAATTCATAGGTACCCGGAAAAGTGCCCGAGTGACTGGCAAATCGACTAACCAGCTATAAACGTCGCGATCTCGATTGCGCGCGATTCTTTCTTTTTTTTTTCTTTTTTTTCTTCAACGATGACAATTCGTTAATCTATATCTTATCCGTATGCAGATAGAGAGTGTCCGCTTTAATCTTATCCGCGCGCCTTAACAACGCTAGCATCCGCGATGATCTACGATGGAGCCGGAATTATTTCGGGAAAGATCGAAGATCGCGCGACACTTTTTCATTTTTATCGCGACAGGGGGAGGTCTGCATTGCGACACTGTGTCTCCCCTGCTCTCTTTGGAGCACAGCCGGCCTGCCGTTTATCTGATTCTAACGCGATGATCTATACGCCATAACTCCGAGGGGGCTCCCCTCGGGGACTGATGTGCATATGGATCACTCGTTCGTCGGAGAGAGTGTGAGGCCGAGAGGTCGGATCGACCGATCCGTGGTCGACGTAAATCGCCGCCGATCTGTCTAAGGAGCGATTGATCTCGCGCGATCTATGGACAAAAGTCCAACGATTTTATCTCTTTCGGAAAATTTTTCATAGTTAATCTATAGTCGTTTTTTATTCGAAAAAGGAAGCGTTCCTTTAATTTCTAGTGAGAAAAAGTCATGAAACTAAAATATACTACAAGTAATTGGAACAAAATAATCGAATTATATTAATCAAAAATTTACTTCGAGCCGTTTAAGATAAATTTCGACCATTTTCCGATCGAGTTTAGAAAAATATATAAAAATGCTACAATTGTATTCAATGATTTAAAAAATAACATAAGATTACATGTGTAACTTTATGTTGCATTTTTTAGGCAAAAACCATTTTACTCATTATCCTTTGTATCTTTATATCATTGTATCTGCTAGAAAATTGTCTGTGGTATACGTGAAATTTGCGCCAGCATTGTAACAATATCTGCAAGCGAATTTAGATGGATATGAGAATTATATACTCATTTGTCTCTCATGCTAGTCTTTTTTATCAATCAATTTTGATAACAATTGGTTTTAATCTGGATAGAGATTTTCTTGTGCTAAATTTTACAAATAATTCAGATAGAAATTCTGCCTCTCTTTGTCATCTATATTGATTAAATACAAAAGATACACGATAACGTAGTATTTGCTAACCATTTGTCCTAATTTCTCATATCTAGATCATTTTCGCTATGATTGCAAGACCATTTTGTAGGCTTTCCTAAAAACAAATCCATTATTTGTACGACCAGCGGATCTGAAACTGCGACAGTCATCATGTATAAAACGCGCAGTCACGTAAAATCCGTTAGCACGCGAGCTATTCCCAAGTTCTACGATCGATATTAGAGAACTATCCGTTAAATTCTCTCGATGCATCGCCGCGCTCGTCGCGTCGAAACGTCGGCCTTGGCCGGCTGCGCTCGTCAAGGATTCCGCATCCTGGGCGTCGATGACGTCGTTCGTTGTTGTCCAAGGGTCAGAAACT